AATCAGAACAGTTTGATTAGATCACAAAATTCAGCATGACTGACGACCTCTTCAAAGGGGGCCACCAGCTGGACAGCACTCCCATATGTAGCTGACATATTAGCCACGTCACCCAGTTTTAAGAGACTAGGGCCCCTGAGATGATCTACTCTACCTCCTTTCGCTAACTAGTCATATAACTAATGGCTTTCATTATTCTGAAAAAATATGCAGACATCTGTATTACCTTAATTTACCTCAAGAGAATTACTTATTACAAAGATAAATGCCATTTTTTAATTTTATAGAACTTTAAGGAGGGAGGGGGAAGGTTGGCAGAATCAGACCATCAAAATTTAGGAGAAAACTCATAAATCTATTATAATATAATCTTAGTAGAAACACCTAGTCTACCCTAACTAAACACAAACTTTTAAAATTCACTGGCTAATTATATACATTTAAAGAGGAAGGAAGCTGGAGAATTCAGGAAAGGGTTCAAGCCACTAGGTGCCTCAGAGAAGGTTCAGAAAGACAAGAGCTAAATCTGTTTTTCTGGAAAAGGCAGAAAGTAATATCAGGAATAGATGACTGCATTAACTTGTCATCCAAACCAGTACAGATGTGAGAGCGAAGGAGCGTGCAAATAATTTCCCTCGTGCACCAAACACAAACTGGGCTGCAGAATCACCCTTGAATTCAAATTTTCCAAAAGGCAGTAAGAAGCCACTGAAAAATATTAATAGAGTGACAGTGTCACACATGCTTTTAAGAAAGCTAACTAGGGCAGCAACGAAAGGCTGGATTAAAAGGGTGTGAATCTGAAGAAAGGAAATCCATCAGTCAGGAGGCAGGAGGTTGCTTTAACAATTCTGATAACAACAGTGGCCTAAAGTAAGGTGAGGTGAGTAGAGATGTTGAGAAGAGGGCAGCTTTAGAGAATTATATTGATAGAATCTTCTCCTTTATTCCGAGCTAAAAAGAGAGAGAATCTTTTATGTGCATAATTCAATTCTCTTTTCAAGAGAACAGAGCAGGTAACAGTTAGCTTACAGAAGAAAAACAAAACCAAAAGATGGGACACAGAGAGTAAGAGGAGCGGACCTTGGATGAGATTCCCACTTCATGTCGACAGCTGGTCTTTTAGCCACGCCGCCAAGAATCTAAGCTTCTCGTCTTCTTCCAAACTCCATCTCTTATTTAGTTTGCAATCTACTGGTGTATCATTCCCTTTGCCTTTCATCTAGTTTTTATTCTCTGGAAAAATGTGAACACCAATGCAGAGGATTTCCATTATTTCCCACTGCCTCTGCCTCCTGATAACGGTCCTGTTTCAAAATTCCACACCTACTTTATTTCCTAATTAAGCCACATGTGATTATCCATCAATTAGGTTGTTTTTATTTTTTTTTAATTTTTAATTTTTATTCATTTATTTATTTTTCGTTGTTTTGATTATGTAAAAGTCAGGGGCAACTTATTGGATTTAAAAAATGTCTTCAGCATTCTTGACATTTACTACAATTGGATCATCTTATTGTTTTTGCTTTTCCATTTTCTATCCTACAGACCTACATTGCCTTCATCAGTGTCCCCATGGAAGCCATTTCCCACTGGATCTTGATTTCTGCCTAACTTGGGCAGATTCTCGGGATCCTGCTGCACTAGACGTTAGTATAGGAGACCAGGACTCAAATGCCCAGAGCTTCAGGAAGTGGCTCCTCTAACAGAAAACAATAAGAAAGGCACAGCAGCTCCTGTTGCACACTCCTGTTTCCTTCTCGTCCACGGGCAAAAGGCAATCTCCTTTCAGAGAACATGAGGTCACTAAGATTGAAAATACCTGCTGGAACCCAATGGCAAAGTGCATGTGGCTAATGTTTAAGCAAATCTATTGACTGCTTAGCATAAGAGCATTTCTCAAGCTAGCATTCACTATCACAATAGAAAGTAGTCCTGGTGGCACACTGGGTTAAGTATTGGGCTACTAGCTGAAAGGTTGATGGCTGCCAGTGCCCATAGAGATGTACAGCCTGGCATCCCCAGGGAGCAGTTCCACTCGGTCCTAGCGTACAGAATGGCTATGTATTATAATGGACTTGACGGCAGCGTGTTGTTTTTAACTCATAACAGGGGAAGATAAGGCTGAATGCTCTCTAAGAATGTAAAGTTTTCATTTTGATATTGATAAAAACCTATTCAAAACTCAATATAAACCATAATCTGGATCATCTGCCGAGAGAAACACCAGGGAATTGCTGTGGTTAAATTTGTTGTGTTTACAACTAAACATCACCACTTTAGGTGTGTGCTCGCTAATGGGAAATTAACATAACTGCACTTCATACCTTTGTACCAAGTGATAACCAAATAAGTTAACACCATTACTATGTGAAAACTTCAGTTTTTACAAACAAAATGGTGGGAGAAGTGAGTCATTATTCTACATAAGCGTCTAGGAATGGAAATCTAAATAAAACAAATGAAAGGACTTTATAATATGTATTATTCAAGTTTGAAAAGCATTCGTGTAAGGTAGAGAAACATCTCCAAGAGCAATGGAAGAGCAAGACAGACACACATACCACAGCTCTTCTGTTGGCTCTGTTTTCAGTATAAACAACCATTCCTCACAGTTCACTTGCACTAAAACTTGCATTAGATATAAACCAGGGGGAAACAAGTGAACATAGCAAACACTAATAAGGGGGAGAAATTTATTTAAAAAGAAAGAAATTAAGATGGGAACAGTTAAACGGAATTTCATGTCCTCAATTTCAACATTACATTTGGAATAAAATTTGTATTAAGGATAATATGTGATACAGATTACACACACAGTTTCATTCTTAAATGAAAACATGAACCAACAAGCATACTTATTAAAAGAAATATAGAAATATGGAAAAGCAGAACAAAGAAAACCACCCATACTCTTCTCACCAAACTACTATTAGGATTTTGTAATATTTCTTCGTAAATACCTGAGTGGAGCAACTGATTAACATGCTCAGCTGCTAACCAAGAGGCTGGAGGTTTGAGTTCGCAATGAAGTCCACAAAAGACCGAGCTGGCGATCCTTCTGAAACATCACAGCCAACGTAAACCCTACTGTAACATATGGGGGGCGCCAGAGTCAGAGTTGACTCCACAGCAACTGTTTGTTGTCCTTAACCTGGTTGAAATCATATTGCACTACAGATCCCTTTACTGATGACAAATCCCTTTACTTGGGGCAACTTTAATGCACTCAAACTATACCCTTTGAGTTTAACAGATTCGTCCTGTAACTGGGTTCCTATATCTAAATACGCAACTTGGGATTATGTGGGTTTAGAGCCAGTTGAGAACCCTTAAGAATCTTCTGACCACATTCAAATGAAGACTTGGGTACAAAAATCAAAGAACATTTGGAATGTTTAATATTTATCTTAAGTATTAGAGGGGGAGCCACAGCATCTTGGTCTCTTGGTCTGTGGAAGTTACAACTTTTAATTCTAAAACTAATATTGAGATATCTTATTCTAAATAAAAGAATAATGACAAAGAGATTAATGAATAACAAGAGGATCTTCTGAAGAGAGGTAATGTGTGAATCTGAAGGAAAGTAAATGGAATTATAATACAGTTTAAAGAGAGAGAGCCGCAGACTTTGAGTCTAATGAACATAAAGAAATTTACCAATTAACACATCCAGTTGCTATTAAGCAAGTTGATTCTGACCAAGGCAACGCCACCTGCATCAGAGCAGGACTGTGCGCAATAGGAATTTACATTGATCTTTTCAGAAGCAGACTGCCAGACTATTCTTCTGAGGTATCTCTGAGTGGATTGAAACCTCTAATCTTTCAGCTACCAGTGGAGTGTGTGAACTATTTGCACCACCCAGGGACTCTATTTCATCGACTCCCCTTAATTATTTCACCCCTCACTGTAAAAGATTTAGAACTAATTAAACACATTCAGTCATGATCAGTACAAACTATTACAGATATATTTTTAAATATGGAAAGTCTCTAAATGAAATATATATTTAAAAACTGGTCGATTCTAATCCACACACACACAAAATCCAACGAGATGTAAACTGAATTATAAAATGAGGATGGGGGATAGGAAGAGAGCATGGTACATGATGAGAAGTTTTAAAAATTGAGCATTAAAAAGGATTAGTTTAATCCTGACATTGTCACAACTACCTTTGCAATTTTAGATAACTCAGTATCTGTGGTCTAAATTTCTTTTTCTTCGAAATGAAAAGGTTAGTGATTCATTCTCACTGTAAATCCTGTTCAGATACCCCCTGTACACTTAATCTAATGAATGAAGGTAGTGTAAGACATTTACAAAATAAAATCTCTTACTTTAATCCCTTCAAGTAAATACCAAAGGAAAATTCATTTTTAAAAGATGTAGTCTCCTGGGTAAATTACTGTTTGTGCTCTTTGGGCTTCATGTTATCTGATGTTGAGGTGAAACTTTACAACAGCTAGTATAACAATGACTTCCCATGTGTATGCCCAGCAAGATCAACCCGCTGTTTATTCCTCCTCCCAAAGCACCAATAGCAAAGAGGAGAAAAACAAAATCATCTACAACAGGTCTATATTTTAATAGTGAAAAAAACCAACCATGAAATATTATCATATATGATATTGGCATAAGTACCTATTAATTTTAAAAATAAGAAACAACTCCCTTTTACTTTACACAGGTACAGTCAAAATTCATACATAAAATCTTGCTTCTAGTCAAATTTTAAAAATGTAGGTGCACTGTTCCTCACCTTGTAAATAAAAATCAAGCTAGAATGTCAACAGGAAATCACTGGTAACGAAACTATATACTTTCAATGAAATGCTGACACATATTTCAATTATCTTCACATGCAGAACTGCTGTGTGTTTTACACTCTAGGCAGCTATCTGGACTCAAAATAATCTAGTTTAAGAACAACGAGAAACTCATATTTTGGTCAACTACTGGTCAATGCATTTACATATATGTATATTTTGACTCACCTTTGTCCAAGGATGTGCCTTAATTTGAGGGAATTTGAATTCTGTGTAATTTGGATTCATTTCTCTAATTTGCTCCCTTGTTGGTGTTCCCAGGACCTAGATACAGAAAGCAGGTTATTGTCATATGTTTCCACAGACTTATAAAGATGGTTTTTATGTTTTAATACATTGGTTACATTTTTTTAAATCCCCAAATTATATAAAATACATAGCTGGTCAAATAAAGCAGACTCTGAAAGCCTAGTAATTTGTAATTGGCTACAAATTCCATGCTATACTAGTCTAAATAGGCTATTTATTTTATATAATACAACAAGAGAATTCAATCATCCAAATAAAAATCAGGTATCTCTATCCTGTCTAGAAAAACACAATTTATTGCAACGATGGCACCTGAAAGAGTATCTTTTACTCATGTAATAAGGTGCTATACTTTAATAATATAGGTACAATTGTCTTCATTTTGCAAATAAAAGCCTAGGAAACCAATGGGGACAAAATTACATGCAGTCAATACAATGTAGATAATGTAGCCAAGGGTGATATTATCAATATGCTAATCACGAGAATCTGACCTTCTAACATTTAAATGCCTTTCAATCTTTGAACGTGAAGTTAGTGTCTCCCATATTTCAAAAAAATTGCTGTGATCTATGGAATTTTCTGTTCCAATGGAAAAAAAATATGTAACTATAGGCTAAAAATAAATTGAGCGTTTCATTGCTTCCAAACCTATTGCTGTCAAGTCAATTCCAGCTGATAGGGACTCTACGACAGAGTGGAATTGTCCTGTAGGGTCTCCAAAGCTGTCATCTCTATGGGAGCAGATGACCGGGTCTGTCCCCTGGGCATGATCAGTGGATTCATGTGGACACCTTTTTTGGTTAGCAGGTGAGTTCACTCTGTGCCACTAGGGCCCCTTTAATTACCTCTAGAGCTGTAGTACACAAAAATCTTCCGCTCTCAGTCTATTTCCAGTGACTTTGCAGGACAGAACAG